TTAAGATGATGTGATCAAGGAAATGGTTGTGAGATGAAGAGAAAATTTGATAAGTATTGGTGATAATATTAAGTTACTCTATTCTTTTACATGAATATATATATATATATATATATATATATATATATATATATATATATATATATATATATATATATATATATATATATATATATATATATATATATATATATATATATATATATATATATATATATATATATATATATATATATATATATATATATATATATATATATATAACGAATATTTTCAACATCACTTAACTAAGTTTATGATGACTCTCTACTTATGTTATGTAGCATTTATCCATTACATCCTTTTTTATAAAATTAAAACTTTAATATTGAAATACAGACCGGGCTAGCCCATCGGGCTGCACGAGCCTTTGAAAAAAAGGTCGGGCTCATTTTTTATAGCCCATTAAGCAATCAGGTCAGGTCAGGCCAATCCATTTAAACATTTTGGCCCATCGGGCCGAAGCGAGTTGGGTCGAGCTGGCGCATTTGACAGCTCTAGTTGCGGGCAGTGTGATAAAATAAGCAATATATTATCCTCTAGCGCGCTAGCTCACGAATAAGGATCACACATGGCGAACACCATTCACGCAAGCACAAATAGAGACTCATCTCGCACGAAACATTTTTCTCCTCCTCAACAGACGGACTGACTCTAAGTCATTGCTTATTTTTCTGGGAGCAACGACTTGAGGGGGGGCTCCTGTTCTGGACTGGGCCCGTGGTTGGTCCACTGTCGGGCACAACCCAACTTGCCCCTACGTCGAGGATGATCCAAATGATGGCCCAATCCATCATGGTCCAATCTGAGGACATATTATCCATGTGCTCCTCACTCGAAAACATGTCATCAACGTGTTCCGCACACTTCAGAATCGTTACGCCATTCATAACGAACACAACCAATCCACTAACCGCGAAGTTCAGAGCAAGTCACTCAGAATGATGAGCACATGTTGCGCATCCTCACACTTACGTGAGAATCCTTGCAGTCATCCATAATGGGTCTGGATACCCAACATATAATGGAGACCATTGACTCAGCGCCGGAGGCTCTATAAGTACTCTCCAGTACAGGAGAGTCAAGTATTCTTGACATAAATCTTACTCTTGCTTACCTGTCACTCTTTCTGACTTGAACATCAGAGTATGTTGTAGATAAACCCTCCTCTATAGACGCTTTGGATCAACCAATAATTAGACCAACCATACTTCTCTTTCTAATCACAAACAAGATCACATATAATATTAAATTTCATATTAATACTAATTCAAATGAAATGTTTTATGATTTTTTATAAAGGATATATAATAATTTAGTATTAATTGAAATACAATCACTTTGATATTAGTATATTAACAGTGATACTAATATAATTTTATAATTTTATTTAACAAAAAATATATTGATTAATAGGAATCAAAATTGAAACTAAAATTAGTTATAATATCAAAAATGAAATTGATATGATATTATTAAAAATTAAATGTTTAAGGGAATCACAACAACTCGTGCACGGGTCGAGTAATACATAGAATAATATTAATATATATATTTTTAGAAGAAAAAAAATAATAGATAAGCAAAACAAAATACTAAAATATTTTAATATCACACCTTTTACTATATCGGCTCTGCTCCGTTTATATTTTTTGGACTTTTTTCTACTATGTTGATCAAATAATTTTAAATATTAATTCACATTTTTTTGGTGATATTTTTAATTCACAAAAAATGACATTTTTATTTTTCATAAGAAATATATGTATTAACCAATGATAATTATCTCATGTTTTTATTTATAAAAATAGATAGTTATAGCATTTTTTATTTTTTTTAATATAAATGTTAACATTTTAGTATAAATTAAAATTGATAAAATATTTTTTTTATCTCTTAAATTTATCTCGTAATCCATTCTAATCTCTTATTTTTTTAAAAATTAAAAAAAAAATTAATTTTTCAAAAAAGTTCACGTTAATTTTTCCCGTGTCTCAAGAAATCTTATGACACAAAAAATGACTAAAAAGATATTAAAAGAATTATTTTATTAATCTAATTGAGAGTAATTATATTTAGTATATAAAATTTAAATAATTGTTCTGGTAATTATTGGTCACCTATTTCATAGATAAAATCTTCATAGTTATTCATTACATAAATCAAAATCATAATTATTACTTATAGTAAATTGTCAAATGCGAAAATAACAATCAAGTACATGAAAATAGTTGTAAAAAATGAATTATCTTAAATTCTCTTTATATATTTAAGTAAAACATGCTATTGATTTGTTAGCTACTTTATATATTTAAGATATTAATATCATGGTGATTGATTTAATTTAAAATTAAAAAAGTAATAAAATATTTTTTAAAGACCCACTTGTAACAAAAAAAACTTAAAGGTAAAATAAATTAAAAGACCTCTAATATATTTTTAACAAAAATAATTTATTTAGGCAAAGGATGCCATTCATTTGTTATAATATCCCTCAAATAGACAATAAAATTATGTTTCAAAATATAAAAATAGACAATAAAATTATGTTTCAAAATATAAAAATAGTCAATAATTACTTTACATAGATTCAATTCAATATTGTCTCATATTTGACCAAAAATCAAAATATCAAATCACTCCAATTTAGACCAACTAATGTAATGACAAAGCAACAAAAATAATACACCTCATTGAGTATGGACTAAAAGCATACAAGCATACGCGTGTTTTAATACAATGCTGTAAAAATCACACTTTTTCCCTTTTATAAAAGGGATTCTTAGTAATCACACTTTTCCCTTTTATAAAAGGGATTCTTAGTTCTGAGGCTGGCCATGTGCTTTGTCATGCAGATCTAATATAAAAAGCATCTGAGAGAATGGTTAACTAACACGTGGAAATATTTCAACTTTCTCCATCACCTTATTGCTTTTTTTTAATAATTGAATCAATGAAATTGCGTTACTACTATTCATTTAGACTTTTATTTTTCACTTATCCCATAATATTGTCCATCTTTATGTCATAATAAAAAGTTCCAACAAGTTCTGTCTTATTGAAGTTCCAACATGTAAATATGTGAAATAGATAATGTACTTTGCTTGTATGCATAGTATTAAGAATGAATCAATACTCAATAATATAGACACTACTCATCTGCATAAATAATTAATTACTTACTCAAGATAATGGTTGAATAAAGCAACTAATATGGACCAAGTAACACTGACATCTAAACCAGACAACATCACTGATCCAACAATAAATTTTTAGGAAAACAAAAACAGATGAAGATCATAAATGTGCAAGACTCTTCTTCTCTAGCTGATATTGACTCATAAAACTAGAAGAACTATCAGATCAAATCATACTATGTAACAATCTCAACCGGGTACCTATCAATGCAATCTTCCCATGGACTCATAGGTGAAGCTTTCACATGTTTCATAGCTTGCCACACTGCACTGTTACACTTAAAACCACTGCCAAATGCAATCTGCCAAATTCTGTTCCCCTTTCTCATCCTCCCTTTGGCTTCTATATAAGCCAACTCATACCAAATTGAACTCGAAGAAGTGTTCCCAAATCTATGCAAAGTCATTCTCGACGCCTCAACATGATTAGGCAAAAGCTGCAAATTCTTCTCAAGCTCATCGATCACAGCTCTTCCACCAGCATGTATACAAAAATGCTCAAAAGCAAGTTTAAAATCAGGTATATAAGGCTTGGCTTTCGCGTTAAAAAGCTTCTTAACAACCAAGGTAGTAAAAAACAAAAGCTGTTCACTAACTGGTAAAACAAGTGGACCCAAAGTTGTTATATTAGTCTTAAGCGCTCCACCTGCAATAGCCATAAGATCTTTCGACAAAGAAACACCGGTTTTACCAACATCGTCTTGCTCTTGATACACACACTTGAACGCTTTATCATCCGCACCTTTATGAGTCCTCACAACATGAACAAGCTTATACTTAGCTCTTCTTTTATCAGAGCCTTTGTTAGAAAGCAGAACCGCAGCACCACCGACACGAAACAAACAATTAGGTATCAACATAGATTTCTTATTACCGAAATACCAATTCTGAGTAATATTCTCAGTACTAACAACAACAGCATAAGTGTTTCTATGAACTTGAAGCATGTCTTTGGCAAGATCAATAGCTATAACACCTGCACTACAACCCATCCCACCTAAGTTGAAACTCCTTATATTTCCTCTTAATTTATACTTGTTAACAATCATAGCAGAAAGCGAAGGCGTTGGATTAAACAAACTACAATTAACAACAAGTATACCAATTTGTTTAGGCTTAATCTTTGTATTAGCAAAGAGATTATCAAGAGCACCATACATAACCTGTTGAGCTTCTTCTCTTGCAGAAGCCATGTTAGGTGTTGGTGGAATCTTATGCATAGCTTCAGGGAGATAGGTTTCTTCACCGAGACCAGAACGTTCTAGAATCTTGCGCTGAAACTCTAAAGAAGATTCATCGAAATCGCCTTTGAGTTTGGAGTGTTGGATGAATTTATTGAACTTAACGGTGAGATTAGAAGGGGGTTTGTAACAGGAGTAATCGATTAAGTAAATGGATCTGGGTCGGGTCATGATGTAAACGGTGGATCCGAAAACGAGAATAGCGGAGCAAGTAATGACACAGACGAGATTGTATTTGAGGTGGAGCCAGAGATGGTGAAGGTCTTGAGGGTTCATTTGTGAGACTTGGATTATGATGATGGACATTAGGGGGATTAAGCAAAGAGTTAAGAGGTGTGTGATTAGGTAATGGTAACCTAGTTTGACGTATTTGAGATTTACGGTTTGGAGAAAATCGGGTAATCGTCGAGTATGATGGATCTGAAGGTCTTCTCTTTGTTGATCAGAACTCATGTTATTGTTTTGGAGATTGAGATTGATGAGAAGTGGAAATAAGAGTATGTGTTGGAAAAGGTGATGATTTATGGAACTGAAACAGAAACACCTAGAGAAAACAAAAACCTTAAGCTATGAAAACAGACTGTATGACAGAGAGAGTCATAAAAACCCAGAGGCTCTTTATTTCTATGTTTCTGTGTTTGTTTCTTATCAGATTGAGAACAAATATAAAATGGGAAAGGGAGGAAGGAAGGAATTAAAAAAGGGTTTGGATTTAGGAAGAGAGGTAGCGGTCAAACCACGGAAACGAAAACTAGTACTCGTACAATCTTTCAAATTTTTTTTTTGAAGTTTTTTATTATACAAAATAAATTTATATATTTGGGGTATACTATACTCCCTCCATAACGATTTTTAATTTTAATAAAATATTAATGTTTATTTTTATGATATATTTAATTATTTATTATTTTCTCTTCGTTTCATTTTTAATTTTTAACATTATTAATAAAAAATATTTTTTATTTATATTTTCATATTAAATTAATTACATTTTTAATTAGTCTTATGAATTGGTCTATATCTTATAATTTGAGAAGGAAAGAGTATTATTTTAATCATTATTATAAAAAAAAATTAAATATTAATAATTATTTTAAATAAAATTAATTATTTTTAAAATATTCAAAATTGTTATTCCTATAATAATCTTATTGAGAACGTCCAATCAAAATACAAATAAAATTCTCTCCATTGTATACTTTTTATATTCGATCTTTGTTAATTTAAGTGTCACAATATTTGTAAATACCACTTGTCCTCTATTCAATCAAAACACCAAACGAGAGCAATCTCTAAACTTATGATTATGAAAGTTTAAATTTAAACTATGATGATAAATTTTTCTTTTATAAATAAAGGGATTATATTAAATTCATCACAATAGATACTCAATTCAAATACAACAAATCGCTAGCAAAAAAAAAGTCAAAGGCTCTAATAACCCATCAAATTTAGAACATACAATATGGTCTTTAAACTTAGCACTAAATCAGTTTTCACTAAGATCACAATATCATAAGCACATTTCCTTCCACCATTAAACACAGTGTCATTCCTAATCAACCAAATAATTTTAACCACTGTCATCTAAAATAGAATAATGTAAGTCCTCTTAATCTTGCCACACATAACCAAGTCAACAAGTGATCAAAGGAAGAGAGAGAACTATCGAACATGCAGATTCTCAATCACATTAAGAGTCACTCCTAAACTCTAGTTGAAACCTTGCAAGAAAGAAGAGAGTGTGATGAGATTCGGCTGGCCCTAAACTATTGGGGCTCAACAAGTTATGAACACCCAAAATGACTTCGCACTTTTTCAACTCATCCCTAGTTTGAAGTCGAGCCAACAAAATCCTACAACAAAAAAACTAGGATATTGCTTGGAACATTGGAATTACAAATAACTTTAAATGTTGCCTTAAAGTTTGAACCCAAATTAAGTCTTGAGCAATCAAAGAGAACAACCTGCAACAAGAAGATTTAACAGAGAAACCAAACGCGTTAGGCCACCAGACAAAATTCTTGAGGAAGATGTTGTTGCGAGAAATCCAAATTCCACCACCATCTACCATTAATCCAGACACCTGAACCAAAAATAGATTTCCTAGGAAAATGGACAAAAGAATACAAAGATAGAAAATTCTGCTCAAGGGAGCAGTACCCAACCAATTAGCTCTCCAAAAATCAATATTAGTCCATGTACCAAGTTTGCAAGAGAGGCATTTCACAAACCAATTTACCTCCGAACGCCACGAGCCAAGTGATATTTAAAGATCTCTCCACCACATCGATGAAATAGACTTATCGCAAGGAATAGAGGAATCTGAAATAGCATTCTTGACATCACCATATTTTGAAGAAAGAACCTTACACCACAAAGCATCTTCATCCGACAAAAGATTCCAACCCCATTTACTCAGAAGAGTCATATTAAATGATTCACAGTGTTTGGTTCCAAGCTCAGCGCCCTTTTTAGAATTGCAAACAGTCAACCATGCCATCCAATTGATTCGCATAATTAATGAGAGTCACATGGCCTCCTAATGACATTGACTTCCTTTTCTACGAGTCAAGTTTGCACCTCATGTTAGATAGAAGGGAAATCCACATAGATCTCCTACGAGGGTTGGCCACAATAGGAATGCCAAGAAAATATAAGGGAGGTTAACTTGTTGCACAACAAAGAAACTCGGAAGCAGCTTTTAAGAAAATAGATTCAACGTTAACTCCAATAATCCTACTCTTGTGAAAGTTGGCTGAAAGGCCCGATGCAAGTTCAAAGCCTTAAAGAATTTCTTTAATAGACCATAAACATTCCCAATAAGGCTTCCCACTAACATTGTGTCATATGCGAATTATAGGAGGTCAACCTGAATATGATCGAAAAGAATAAAAGGTTGAAAGGTGATATTGTTGCGATTGGTTTTTAAATGAGAGTCACCACTACTAATTTTTATCCTAAGGAATAACATCTAATAGGAAACCCTAATTTGTAAAGACAAAGATTCTAAGTTTCGGACTCTATTAGACGAAAGGAAGGTGTTAGGCACCTTTCATCTACCTTATTCTTAAGGCTACTAGGTTTAGGTTTAAGTTTTGGGTGAAATAGGGTTTTAATTTTTAATAGGAGAACTCGCCACGATTTTAGTCGTATGCCTATGTATCCTCTTATGAGGAATCAGAGTCTCAATTCGTAGTTCGTATGGGTTTGTGTTTTGTAGGAGTTGCAAAAGTATTTTAAATTGCCTCGCATTTGACCGGGTGTAGAGATAGCAGAATTTTGAACTAAATGCGCGATTAGTCAAAATATATTTGGAACCCTTTAGCAAAAATTGATTGTTTAGATTAGTTTATTGCAAAAAAGATTTAGTGTTTGTTATGTATTTTTAATCACATTAATTATGAAATTTCTTAATTAATGCATGATATAAAAAATATTTTAATGCAAATATATAAGAATGTACATGAGTTTTTAAATAAAATAATTATTTAAATGATAATAACAATAATATATGATAATAATAATAATTATTATTATAAAAAATAAATAAATAATAATAATAAATAATAAAAAATTGGATAAAAAGTATAATATAAAAGAAATAATGAAAAATATAATAATAATATTTTATGAAAATAAAATAAGATGATAATAATATGATAATAATAATGTATGAAAAATAAGACTTAATACAAATAAAATGATTATTGTATAAAATAAAATAATTATAAAAAAATTAAATATGATAATTATTATAAAAAGAAATAATTATAATAGACAAAAGAATAATTAAATGATAATAATTAAAATAGACAATAAGAAAATAATAAAAAATAGAAAATATTAATTAATATTCAGGGGGTGCGTTTTATATTGGATAATAAAAAGGGTGGGGTATAAAAAGTCAGGGCCTGAATTCAAGCTCAGCAAACCTGGGGGTGTAATATTGAACTAATGAATAAAACTAGGGGTGTTCTTAGGAGGCTGAGCCCAAGTTCAGATATTGAACTGGGCCCAAGGGCAATGGAGTGAATTTATGTTCGCTGGTTAGCAATTCAAACAATGGGGGTGTAAAAATAAATGGATTGGGCCTAGTACATGTTTGAATGGAGAGGCTGGTTGGACACGGTGCGTGGGGGTATACGAAAATTATGGTGGACTTGGCCTTACGGCCATTCAATACAAATCAAATGGACCAAAATGCAAGTGCACGTTAATTACTATGCATATGCGCGTACGAAAGAAAAACAGAACATAAAAATTTGTTTCTTACATTTTGTTTTTTTATTTTCAGTTACTCCCCCCCTCTCTCTCTCCCTCTCGTTTTCCCTTCATCTTCTTCTCCTTATATCCCTTTCTATAACCCTAAACCTAAAGCTCTCTGCGGTGGCGCTACAAACACAGCCTGATACCCTTCTATTACAACCACCCAAGAAAACTCCAAATACAAGAATAAAAAAGAGAGCTGAGTTTTTACCCCTTCGCTATTTCGTTTTCTGACTTTGCGCGTGTCTGATCCGATACTAATCCCCCTCAGTTTTCTTGATTCACAGGTCTTGGTGAAAGTGGAGTAACGGTGACGTTCAGTGGTGGCGCGATTAAATTGTCAACGGCGATTAGGGTTTCAGATATTGAAACCCTAATCGTCACCTTCTCCGATCTTCAATAGCAAAGCAAGTGTTTGGTCTTCTTCTGTATTTCTTTTCCAACAAATCTCCCCCTTCTGTACTTCTTCTTTTTCTTCTGTCCCCTTCTGTATTTCTTTTCCAGCAAATCTCCCCCTTCTGTACTTCTTCTTTTTCTTTTGTCCCCCTTCTGTATTTTTCGGTTTGGGTATATATAGGGCTAGTCTCAATTGTGGTTACAATTTGTTTAAGGCTTGGATTTAGAGATTGAATAGATTAGGGATTCGATGTCATTGTAATTGATTTAGTATTTATTCAATTCTGTATATTTGATTGAATATAGTAGAGATCTGATTATGTTTGTATTTTGTTCTATTTGATTCTGCATGTTTAGATTTTAACTGTAATCATTCCGGGCTTTTGGTTTATAGCAGTATCCGATTGTATTGGAGAAGGATTTGATTTAGTGAAAATATTTGATTCGGTGTTATTGTTGTAAAATATTTTATTTTCTCCTATTCTGGGCTTTTAATTTATTGCTGTATATTTTGTTTCCAACTGCAAGTAAAATCATATAATTTGTACAATATCCATTAATGTGATAAAATATGCGCATTTTTTCCTTCAATTGATACAGTATTTGTTAGTACCTTTTTCTAAACGAATCTACAAATAAACTTTTGGGCCTCGTAACAAAATTTCTCTTCTGCCCAACAACGATTTTTGCCGTTACAAACATTTTCTTTTAATACAAACCGGGCCCAATATTAGGCCCCTTTTTATAAAACAAATTTTTTGCAAGAAAAACTCTTAATATTTAATAAAATAATTAATAATAGAGTTTAATAATAATTAAATCTCCTAATAATTTGTAAAGAAAGATTTTTATAATAACAGAAAATTTTTGAGTATTAATAATTTTTTTCTCCAAAATAATACAGCAGTAAAAATGTTAGATGTGCTAATTACTTAATGGGCCTGCGGTTTCTTATGAGCTTCTTATTGCAATTTCATCCTCCTTTCTTTACTAAAAGAGTAGCACTTAAATGGGCATTTAATAATCACCCCTCTCTTCACTATTTACCACCAAACGGAAATAGGCCAAACAGAAGGGGCTCGCATATCGAATTTTTACCTCCCCTTTTACTAACATAAA